GAAGTAATTTCACAACCTCGTCGATTGATTTCCCCTGTTTACCTAGAACTCGACACCTAACCTCAATATTGCTCGCCTTATTATACCACTTCACATGGGAGACAACGCAGGCACCTATGATCAAAGACAGCTAATCTTTTCATGTCTTCCACTCTCAGTGGCCAGGTCTCACAGCCATAAAGGAGGACAGAGCGGACTGATTAGCAGTACAGACGCCCTTTGGTTGATAGACGGATATCTCGTCTACGCCAGAGACGGCGTAAACTGGCAAATACGAAACATCGCTACTACCGATTGAATGGTTTAGTGAAGCCGTTTGATTGGTGTCGTTGCAGTGGCTTTGACGCTCAACTGATGCCGAGAAGACGACCTAACTTGACTATTTAGAGGAAGTAAAAATCGTAACAAGGTTTCCGTAGGTGAACCTGCGGAAGGATCATTACAAGATTTTTTAAACATGTATCCAATTGAAGCATGGATATTGTTCAGGTGTGCTGAGACATGCCAGTTGGTGTCGGTTCCCTAGATCAAAAGCACCAAAGCATATAAACCCGAAAGATTAAATACGATTCTGAGAGAGTGAAGTATACATGATGGTACCGTTCCATGACGTAGACATGTGGCCTTGTGCTATGTGCACCGTCGGGGCGGATCATACATGTTGAGAAGACTGAGCTGAGCAGTCTTTAATAAAGAAAAGTGATCTTGGTGGTCCATTGATAAGTGTTGTTTGGCTTGAGCAACTATTCAGCACAAAAGAGTGAAATACTTTTGACGACTGAGAGGGCAGTCGATAATCGATGGAGAAAAGTGTTCTTGCTGGTTTATTGACAGAGCTATTCAAGCACGATAATAATATATCTACAGTTTGTAAGCAGTTACATAAGCTACAAAATGAATTAGAAAGCAAAGTAATAAGCAGACTCCAACTTCTGTTAGTGTTAAAGCACATAATTTAATCTTTGCATCCACTTACTTACACTCTGATAAACATCAAATGTAAAAAATATCTATAGTAATTTCGTATTTCTAAAAGCGATTCAAGCCTAACCACAAACGTTCGCCTTCTATTCCCCGTATAATATAGTGAGTTATATTGACACTTATGCGTAGAGTGTTAGTTGAGGTGGGAAATTCCAATGATGTAGCTTCAGAAGCTAAGGTTAAACGGTTTACTCTTCACTTCCTCCAGATTCGTATTCATACTATCAACACTCAGACGTCTATACTTCCTAGTTTAGCAACCAATATCACATGCATGCTTATGTAGCCTAGACTAAACAGTAGTTTCTCAGAATCTATGCTTTATGACCACTCCATCCGATAAGAAATCTTGATAATAGATATACTTAAAAATCCTTTGGTGATGCCCACTATTCCCATTTCTATTCAATTCCATCATAGATGTACTAATGGACTTAACCCTAACTCACTTCAGAGACTCACGGATTGACTTGTTATGTTACCAGGGCATAATCTCATAGTTCTCTCTCCTAGGTGAAGACATTGACAAAATGCAGAGTTTATACACCTTGAGATGAAATCTACGAATATTTGGCATCCGATTCGCTCCCGCCAAATGCAAGATGATGTTACAGGACCGGACCACACTGACTACTAGTTTAGAAATGGGGAGTGAAGTGGTAGAGCATGTTGACCGCTTCACTTATTTGGGAAGTACCATCAGCCAACGCCAACGGGTTGATCTCTGACGAAATCTCAGCACGGATACAGAGGGCTAGTTTCGCATATTCCAGTTTACGCCGTCTCTGGCGTAGACGAGATATCCAGGTGGCTCACGATGAAAAGGGCGTGTGTACTGCTCATCAGTTACCTCCGTCCTCCTTTATGGCTGTGAGACCTGGCCATTGAGAGTGGAAGACTTGAAAAGATTAGCTGTCTACGATCACAGGTGCCTGCGCTCTATCTCCCGTGTGAAGTGGTATAATAGAGTGAGCAATATTGAGGTTGGGCATCGGTCGCGTGCTAGGTAGCTGGGAGGGGAAATCAATCGACGAGACTGGGAGGCTACACCGACTGAGATGGTTAAAACATGTTACGTATGCCTAATCATCGCCTCCCTCGACGCGCAGTGTTATCTGATATAGAGTCAGGCTGGAAAAGAGTTAGCTAGCGGCCGTCAAACCAAAACATGGCACCAGTCAATCAAATCCACAACAGTCAGTCTAAGCCACATAGGAAGGTGTAGACTTACTGACTGGTTGGGGTCTTCGGGACGGTAGAAACCAATGGCTGGACACAATTGGTGACATGGCTCAAAATCGTTCTAAATAACTGGGGCAGGTGCATCCACTCCTATTCCTTTGTCTCACACTTCTGTTTACTGTCCCCATTTTGCATTTCTTCTAATTCCTTCTCTTCCTTTGTGTGCTAAAAGGAGGGAGTGTTGCGACTTGAACTGCTGCACATCGGTGCACAGTTCTGTGTCGAAGACAGACAATGAAGTGTCTAAGGAACTTGGGTTAAATGTTTCGAACAGGTTAGTTGTAAACATTCAGATAAATATAGAATAGGACCAAATCTAAACGCTCAAAATATAATGACACCACATGCCCTTTTCTAGTAAAGTAACAAGTATGAACAATCTATGGATAAGCTGAAAATCTAAGTCAGACATTGAATTGAATTTTTTACCTAGGACTTTGCATAAAAAGTGTTACATTCCCGGTTGCCAGATCCCACACACAGATAGATGAGGAATTTCAAAAGAACCATAAATAGACAAGAAACATACGAGACAAAGAATAATGAAAATTGAAAGTATTTTCAAGTCGATAAAGATTGAATGAACCTGTGCCATTGAGAACGATTTAAAGACATGTCAACAAAAGTCTGCAGTCATCAGTTCATAGGGCCTCGAGGACCTCAATGAGGCTTTTAACTCTCCGCTCAAAATAATGGTTGAAGTTTTCACTGATAGGACCTTTGTTTTGATTCGACCACCAATAATTCCTTCTCGACCAAATCTTTTGTCAGAAAAACAAGAAGGGTTCTAGGCATGTTCTAGCCACCTCAGTCCAATATACTGGTTACACCTTCTTCCTTCAACAGATCCTGAAATAAAGAGACACTAACCGTCGCCTATATACTTTTTGACTTGAAGATGGTTTCCGATTCTGTTGACTGAGAGTGAGGTGGCAATGCCTGGCTAATAAAGTAGTCAAGGTACTCGATTTGAACTTGCTTCCGTGTTACAGCCTATGGAAAGACATCATCTAAAGTGATGGTGACCTGTGATATCCGACAAGCATACTCGATGTCTCCAGTCTTATTCGACTTCAACGAATATGTACTAATGAATGCTACCATTGTCGTCTTCAACATCTTATGGGATGACTTGTTACCTGGAAACAATTTTGTCAATTTACAGTAGGCAGATTACAATCTTTCTAAGTGAAGTCACTAGGAAAATGTGGACTTGTGAACACCATGAGCGAAACCTTAAAAACTATGTATGTCATTCCTTCATGTTTAAAGTAAGGTGTGGTTGCAGGACTTAACCGTATCGAGGATTACTTCGAAAATGAGTGGAATTATGACAGTGTGTTGACTGCTTTACTCATTTAAACCTAGGAAGAGCATAGAGTTACACCAGGAAGTAAGTGAATTGACCATACTCCGACGACTGAATGAAGTACTATGCACGTCACGATGTCATCTACTACATCGGCTAAAGCCAACTGAAATGAGATAACGTCTAATATTGCTTTTTCGTTGTCATCCTAGAGCTTTATATTTATCAATCAGACCTTTAACGCCTGATGTGAGGCCTGTAAAGAATTGTTATATTAGAAACCTGTCGACTAACTTCTGCCTATATCAAAGATTTTATCAAGGTACAGCAAATTTTGAACACCAAACTGTCACCTAACACGAGAAACAGGATGCAAACACCCATTTCGAAAGACTTCCACGTCACACAATCCCATCCGCTTACATCAAATCAAAGTTAGCATACGTTCAGCACACTCACCACCAGCCTGGTGAACCTCATAAACCAAAACTTCTAGACGCCAATTTATGCTGCACAACCATGTGCAAATACGTTGAAGTTAAATGAGTGGCACTACAGCTGAGTTCTACGGAGCCAGTCTGAACAGCTTTGCAGTAATCTTATGAACCAAACCGTCATACCGATCACTACTACTGGACACACTCATTCCCCTCTCAGCCAAACGAACAAAGAAAACTGACTATCAACGTGACAGCCAGTGGTAAAATTAAAAGGCAACTAACTCAAGAGACTACGTCAAACCTGCGTCACACTGTACTGCAAGTCTTCACTTAGCAAACACTACCTTATGACAAAATTACTCACACCCGATGACGACCTTGCATCTGACCAGGATTGCAGATATGAACTAGAATTAGATTTGTTATCGATCTCACTCATAACTCGGAAGTGAAAAATTACTGCAATCAATTGAACAAGCCTGTAACGTCTTCAGCACTCCAAAGCAATCATCTGATATGGTCTGCAGAGGAAAGATGAGTGTCAAGAAAGTGCACTACTTTACCTGGCAGGCAACAAGTCAGCAAGGACTTTAACCCAATCCCAAGCAATTTCAACCACCTTGTACTCAATTACGAGTTAGTGGGAGCCTACATAATCCTGGTGGATATGAATAGGGTCATCCTACCGTACACAAACAATGCATAGACAAACTTGACAATGGCTAAAGCCACCAAGTTTCGTAATACATCGGAATTCACAAGAATGCATAACTCAATCCACCAGCGTACGTAGTACAACGATAGTGTTGATCAAGCATCCCATGTCCTATAAATCTACTATTAGATATTCGTTCGCAATAACGAACTTAACCAATGGAGACTGATGGACATCAGACCGTCTTACCAATAGAGATACAAGACATTTAAATGCCGTGCAACACAATGTACTATCACTGACTTAAAAAAATGTATGCTAAACATGAAACTGAATAACATCGCAAGTGATCGGTTAGTTAACTAAATACCTCATCAAGAGACAGTGATTCCGATGATGTACTTTCTCTTAACCATGAACATTGCATCCATCGGTGGTATTTTGTCACATGAGTAGCAAGATAAGGCACCAAGAACAGGCGAGTCGTTTCCACCACAGTTTCTCGATTCAACCGCATCCCTGTACAAAAATTAATTCAACAGTAAACATCCTATCTTCAGCAAATCAAAAGAATAGTCTGACTACCAAATTTATATTATGGTACACTCATTCAGCCTTTGTTGTTCGGGTGTATATCTGTTGAGAATTGTGTTTGCACACCATCTTTATCGAACCTAAACCAAGAACATGAATCTTAGTGAGATAAACAAACCTCGCCGCCATAGTTCTTCGAGCGCATGACGAGCAAGTGAAGCCCGAATTTTCAACCGTTCTGACACAACTGATGGTGTAATAACTTTGTACTGTGGGACTTCCTTCAATAGCTTATCGAAGGTTGCCTTGTCAAATAGCACCATGTTGTTGAGTTTGTCTCTGACTTTTCCCTTGGACCATTTCTTCTTCTTAGCCTTTCCACCACCACCTTCTTTAGGTTTCATCGGCTTTTTAGCCGGTTCCTTCTTACCACCTTTCGATGCCTGTTTGGGAGGCTACAAAACATGAGACATGCACTATACTCGCAACTTACCATGATGGAACGCGTGCACTGAAAAACTTGCAAATACCGCCCGTACAAACAGTCGAAGTGGAAGGTGTACTTCAATGTCACAATAAAATATTTGTACGATATTCAATCCAATTATTTCTGAAAATGACTTGCATGTCCTGTATTATGACTGCCAGGAGAGTCAGCTTACATGTTAGAACCTTTCTATTAATAATCTGAAGCCATTCATTATGCATAAGATATGTGTCAATAGAGCTTCTGTTGTGTCTTACTGCCATGCACTTTTGGCAAGCCAAGCATGTATGAGCCCATCCCCTTATTTCCCTATTAATATCAAGCCATCAAAATCAACTAGTAACGAACTTGAATGCAGTTTGAGTACCTGGATGAGATAAGTCAAGCAACGTATTGAAGACGTTACAGTTAGGCACGATGGGACGAGAGGTACTTGTAGAAATGTCATAAAGAATAGTGTCTTTCACATCTATAGACGGTTTCGGGTAAATACAGAGTTGTTATTGATGATGCATTTTGAAGCTCGGTATCTTCTTTTAGAAGGCTAGCATGTTTCAAAATGGCGGTAACATATAATTGGGCTAGGGGGCAAATGCCCAACAATGCACCTGCCACAGTGTTGTTCACTCCAGATACATGATGAATATCCGATGTAAACTGTGAATCACAGTCCAGTTGTCGCAATTCACTCGTGAACACTAATCTGAAGTCGAGTTCGGAGAATGCGTAAGGGGTTTGTGTTCAGTGAAGATTATGAATTCACAACCATTCACTGAGTGCTGCAAATGACGTACAGCTCAATTCGTAACCAGAAGTTCCCTGCCCAGTATGCTTCACTTGGTTTCTGCCAGTTGTAGATGCCATGTGAAAAAGGCAAGTGGTTGACAATTTTCGTTGACTAATTTTTGCATAATTGTGCCGATTACTGCATTGAGCAAATCAAATGAGGTACTAAGTTTTGCCACTGGATCCTAATAAATGAGAAGAGTGCATCCACTATGGCTCTTTTTGATCTGAATGGAAGCACTTTTAGTGGATGCCTTGGGTTCAATGGACTTATTATTCCATCGAAGAAGATCTGCTAGTGGCTGATTCAGGGAGGCACAGTTACGAATAAGGCATCGGTAATAACTTACAAATCAATTGGAAGTGAGATTTTTCACCGTCTTTGGTTGTTCAAAGTTCAAATTGCCTGAACTTTGCTGGCCAGCAGATCAGTGTGTCGACCGAATTCTTCGGTGTGTCTTAGAACTGCCTGTACATGCCATGCGCGGTCACTGTTGCCCGTACTATATATCCCTAGATCATCTCCATAAACTTCGACGCTCCACAAATTCTTGGGCAGCAACGTCATTAGTCGCATAAATGTAAACAGGGCACCTCCCAATCCAAAAGGCATATTTTTAGACCGATATTGCTTCTGTCCCACAAATAACACCGTCCCATCTCTATCTCCTTGTTTTATCGACAGTTGCCAATACCCTAATTGCAGATCTATGGTTATAAACAGCTTCGCACCCTGTAAGCGATCTAAGGTTTCTGCATTAGTTGGCATCTCACACGGTCTCAGCTCTTTTATGTCGTTCAACTGTTGGAAATCAATACAAAATATGTATTTCCCGTTGATTTTCCTCGCCAATAGCATTGGAGAAGTATATGGGCTGTCGGCCTCTTCAATAATGCCATCCTTCAACATCGCCTCAACCTGTTTTGCGAACTCGCTTTCTAAATGATACAGAAATCTTCGAGTGACGAATGATCTTACTTTCCTGCTTGTCCTCGGAATTTCGAGCCTCACTTTGTCACTGTAACCGTACGGATCACCCTATCCGGTGGAAAGATGGTCGTACATGCCAAGTTACGTTGCTACACTTGGGAATTCCGAAGATGCAATCCCTGTTACCTCATTATTCTCGTGCACGCAGAAACACCCAAATTTCGTAACAACAACCCCTTTCAATGGAGGTAAACACTGAACGTTTGGTTTTGGAACTGGTAGCCATTGGTGGGCAACTCGAAGGCACGAATGGTTCGATCGTGTACAAGCTTGACGAGAACGACCAAAAACGAATAAAAGTAAATAATAAATTTGTATAAAACATTTGTTTATAGACTTGTATTATTCTCCGCTTTAATTGCCGAACAGCATAACTTCCTTCTTACAATAGTGGCGTTTTGGAGGTAAAGTCGAAGAAAGTACATAGTATTTATCGGTGCGGAGAATCTTCGTAACAACAGGAACTTAGAGATAAGTTCCATAACATAAACATTATTTCATAAGTTTTACCTGTTCGATTATTTTGCAAGCAATCAGAACAATTTCTTATAAACGTGAAATTGTATACTCTTCACTAACGCCGCCATCATTGTTGAGTTGCAACTCATTTTTCGCTTTGTTTCCTGCTGATATTTGTGGTCATTTTTTGAACAGTTTATATTTGGGTGATTGCTTTGCCGCCACGTGATTAAAAGCTATTTCAGTATGAGGAGGAAGTCATCGGAAACTGCGAAACGGTATAAAAAATGGAAGTATGGATAATACACCATTGGAAGTGCATTTTCATGGAGGAGGTGGAGATTCCTTGGAATGATAGTACACATTTGCAATGTTAAATGCTAACCATATTGGTTAAGCATGGAAAATATGATATTTTGGATGAAAATATAGCTTCGCTCAGACATCAGTGTTGTTATTTTTTTCATTCGGCACAACTACAATTTAAGCTAACGAAAGATGAGAACAAAAGAGGAGGTTGTAGCTTTGTTTAAGGCCTGGGTAGTGAAGATGTAATCAGGTGGAATAGTTAGTAGATTAACAAGATTATCGTGAGATAGGTAAGTGACATTTCGATGAGAAATGAATTCAAAGATCTGGAAGATTAGAACCTATAGGACGAACCAACCTGTAAGATGTCTCACGAATTTCTGTAGGGCCCATTATGTAGCATCTTGGCGAGAGGCTAAGGAGGCTTGAAGGTGGTAGGAGCGAAGGCATTTTTACAACTTAGATATGTACAACCCTTATTTCTTCTTTTTCGTCAAGGATCTAGACTTATATTTAGTTCTCGAGCCATCAAAAAATGCGTGTTGTTGTCCTGCAGATCTGAACGACTCACATTTGTGACCACTACCACAGGTACGCACCGCCCGCCCTCCCTTTTTGATGTTAACCCTTGAGAATTTTCGCATCTCATTGCTTGTCAAGGAGCTCCGCCATGCCTACATCACCCTTAACAGAAACATTATTATGAAGAATGTAAAGGATATTGCCTTGATTTTCTTGCAGTCTTTTTAAGAAGAGTTAGCAAAGAGAGCTAATATTGCAGTTACTTTTATGGGTAACAAGCTTTTTGTAAATTCCACTGGCATTGTCTGATCTTATCATATACCCCCAAAATGCTAATGCGCGATGTCAATGCGGCTGAAGATTGAACGATCAATTCTTGGTTGTTTGCTCAAAACCAACTTCCCCAATTTTCGCGGAGGCATCAATACGACAGTCATCGTCTCATCGGTCGCTGTTCAGAAAGAAGTCAGCAGTAAACCGTCAGAAGTAATCTTGTGATTTATTATTGTAATATTTGTTCATAGACCTTAGTTTTGAAGCTTAGTTTCAAAGTTGGCTATATGTTGGTGTTAGAATAAATAATTCCCGATTTGCCACACTGGATTTGCCTCCGTTCGTACTAAGAGTTTCTGAGAAACTTCAAGGAACAGCGTGAACCCGAGCGTAGCAAGAGCTGGCCATTGACGGTTTACGAGACGTGACTGATAATTTCTGACCGTTAAGTCGGTTTCTGACGGTGGAAACAGTTTCCGACGGATTCAGATAGTTGGTGAAGGTTTGGATAGTTACCTTTCATCTTTCCTGGTGCCGGTCAAGTCCTCTGTGAACAAGCAATATCTGGAACGCTTTTGGAGTTGGGCCAAGTTCAACAATGCTTGGGTCAAAGAAGGGACAGAGCGTCTTGGATGCAAACAGGAAAGTAAGTCATGTTGACTTGTCTGTTACTTGTAACGATGTGTCTGATGTTAAGCATGACATGGTTGACGTTACTGTTTCGCCGTTCAGGGATAATAGGAACATCAAACTCCCCAGATTTGAACCACGTGTTTTGATGGAAACCCGGCTGATTATTTACAATTTGTAAGGGAATTTGAAATCACGTTAAGTGGTTTTATATTAAATGATGAAATGAAGTTAATGCATTTGATGAGGTAATGCACTGGAGATGCTGCAAGAGCTATACAGTGCTGTAAGTTTATGAAGCCAAAAGAGGGCTACTACGAGGCTATGAGCGTACTACATCAAAGGATTGGAAGACCTTCAATGATTGCAAGGAACGTATTCGAAGCTGTTAAAGGTAACGGCAGTCAACTACAAGATGACCCTAAGGCACTTACTAAGTGTCAGCCACGTCTCATAAACCGTTAATGCCCAGCTCTTGCTACGCTCGGGCTCACGCTGTTCCTTGCAGGTTTTCAGAAACGCTTAGTAATAACGGACGCAAAAACCAAAACACCGATTGGCCGCTTTGGAATTCTTCATTGTTGCACCAACATATAAAAATAATGGTTTTACTGGGGTCTGTGAACAAATATTACAATAACAAATCACAAGATTACTTCTGACGGTTTACTGCTGACTTCTTTCTGAACAGCGACCGATGAGACGATGACTGTCGTATTGATGCCTCCGCGAAAATTGGGGAAGTTGGTTTTGAGCAAACAACCAAGAATTGATCGTTCAATCTTCAACTACATTGACACTCCCCTGCAAAAAAGGGATCCAACCCTTTTTTCCTTCACGACCAATGCACGTTGACTTGGATGCCATTGCGAGAACCTGGGTCACACGGACAGAGCTGAAATGGAAAACAAACAGAAAAGCCAACACACCACAAGCATACCCACAGCACAATCTCACACATCAATGACGACCTGCGCCTCCAGACAGAGACCTCCTCTTGACATCTTGCAACACAATCGCCACTTGCTAGAATGACTCTTGCAGAATGCAACGTGACCATAGCACCAACTCATGATACTCTACGCACATCCTCTTATCTACTCACTACCAATTAC